TTTGGACAAAGTGAGGGTTCCCCTTGGGATGGGCCCCTGAGGGTGAAAGCTCTCCACTGAGAGCTGGGCTGGTGGCTTGAGGTTTTACTCTGAGTTGCCTACTTTTAGAAGAAGTAATAACATCTTCGTGACACTGGATAGCAAATGTTTCAAATACCATTTCAACACCAAATGGTATGATCCATGAAAGAAAGGAATGGGTAAAATCAAAATGAAGAACTTCTGCTCTTCAAAAGAGAGTTAAGCAAAATTTCTAAAAAAAGCACAAAACAGCAACAACACCAAAGCCCCACAACACATTAGGAAGAATATTTGCAAATCCCACAACTAATAAAGGATTCGTATCCAACATCCATACAAGGAACTCTCAAACCTCAATAATGAGAAAACAAAGTACCCGTTTTTAAAGAAATGGGCAACATATTTTAATAAAAGCTTCACCAAAGAAGACAATTATTCAGCAAATAAGCTGATGAAAGACGCTCAAAATCATTAGTCATCGGGGAAATGCAAATTAAAACCACAATTTAGAAACTACAACACACTTATTAAAAAGGCCAAAATAAAAAAAATTAAAAAAAAAAAAAACACACCACCAACAACACTGAAAATGCCAAGTGTTGGCAGAGATATGGAGAATTTGATCTCATACGTCGCTAGGGGAATACAACATGATACAGGCACTTTGAAAAAACAGTTTAGCAATTTCTTATGAAATTAAACATACACTCCCCATATGACTCAACAATCCCACTCCTCGGTATTTACCCAAGTGACGGAGAAGCTTATGTGCACACAAAAACCTGTATGAGGATGTTCACAGGGGCTTTAGTCATCGTCACCAAAGCTGAAAGCCACGCAGGCATCCCTCGACCGTGGAGGGGGTCACCTGTGACCGATCCACACAATGGGCTGTGCATTAAAGGTGTGGCAGGTGACATCACTCATGATGGCACAGGAATATCACCATGTCTCAATGACGTGATAGCATGAGAGGGGCACTTCACCTCTGTGGTATTCTTCCCTCCACCCCATCGTTTCACTACGAGAAAACTATCAGGCAAACCCAAATGGAAAGCCATCCTCCAAAACACCAGATACTTCTCGAAACTGTCAAGGTAGTGAAAAACAAGAAAAGATTGAAAAAATGGCTACCTTTTTTGTGGAATAGAAAAAGGAGGCATTCATGCGGGGCAATGGTGGAATCCCGTTAAAGCCCAGAGTGTAGTTCATAGTCATACAGAGATCCTGGTTCCTTCCTTCAGACAGGGGTGGTGAAAATTATAACATAATTCACGAGCCATATAAAATTATCCACTTAAAAATCAGCCCGCTATGTTTGGGCAAACATTTAATTAACTCACCCCTAATGCTTGGCAGGGCCTTATACGGCCCTCGGGCCGAACATTCCCCGCCCCTGCTTTAGACGGATGTGCGTGGTAATGTATGATGGTCACATTAGTGAAAACTGACACCTCGTGAAGGGTACGTGGGAACTCTACACTCTTTGCAACTTTTCTGTAAATCTAAATTATTCCAAACAAAAAAAAAATATTAAAAACCAAGTATGTCAGGCAACATAGCAAGCACTCAATAAATGATGACGATTGCTACTCTTGGGAGGAAAAAGCATTGGTAGAAAACGCAAATTACAGAACTTCTACCTCACGTTGCATTAGGGTTCGTGCGGTCAATTGCTCTTACAAATGTCATTTCACATATCAGTCTCCACAGATTAGAGCTGGGAGGGAAGGAAGTATATCTGGCCACCCCTCCTCGGTTCCAGATGAAGAAATAGAAGTGGGAGAAAAAGAAGCAAGAAGAGGAAAAATAATGATCATTGAAATAACAGGAAGACTGTTTTAAAAAGTAGTAATAAACAATAATAAATGACACCCACTGTGACTCGGGCACTGTTCCCGGCGCTTGTGCCCATTAGCTCACTTATAACAACCCTGCAGGATACATTCTATAAGAGTCTCTATTTTCCGAGGAGGAAGCTGAGGGACAGAGAGGCTCAGCACCTCTCTCAGGGTCACACAGCTTGCAAGGCTGAGCCTTGAACTCAGGAAAAGGAAAGGAACTTGGATTCATTCAGCATCTACCATGACACAGGCAAGATGCCAAATGTCTCCTAAACCTTACGTCATTTCATTCTTCACTAAATTCGATGAGATCAGCACCATTATCCAAAGTCACCCATGAGGAACTCAAGGTTTACATATTGCCCTGCCACCCAGTAGGCAGGTGGCAGACCTGGGATTTGAACTTGGGTCCATTGGACCCCAGCCCTGTGTGCTCTCTACCACCTATCCAAAGTCACCCATGAGGAACTCAAGGTTTACATAATTGCCCTGCCACCCAGCAGGCAGGTGGCAGACCTGGGATTTGAACTTGGATCAATTGGACCCCAGCCCTGTGTGCTCTCTACCATGCTCGCCTCCTCTCGGCACCGGTAGAACGGACCACCAAGAGCAGACTGGAGCCTCCACCTTTTCATTCACGATGTGCTCCACGTTCAGGAAGGCTTCGCTTCCCTAGTCAGACATTGTCTGGTATTTTCTCTTTTACAAGCAGAAAAGACCTCTTCTATTCATAATTCCTTAAGACTCGGAGAGCGGACCTAGGGCTTTTCAGATCCCCAGGACACAGGATGACAACTATGTCCATTTTACAAATTTCAAAAAATTCATCCAAGACCTAGCATGTATTAACGGAGTCAGTAGGATGTTAACATCTGACAATATTAGCTGAGGCTGATGTCTGACGCTCCGGCCAACCTCTGACTGTCCGCGGCCGCGAGGGTATGAAAAGTGTTACATGTATTTAGACATATTGGGAGGAGAAGTACAAAGCGATCATCTGTTTGCATCCCCCGCCCATATGTGGCCACAAATGGAACGCATTGAAAAGGTCACCAGGGGTCAGGAGATTTAGTGAACGGGGCACAATACAGCCTTGTGGTCCACTTTATTTCCTCCTATAAAATATAGGTTGAGATAAACGAAAAATCCCTCAGATTTGGTTTTATAGCTCAAATTCATAAATTCTCTGCATTCATTAGAAAGCGATGGGCTCTCTGCACCCACTTGAAAAGCTCGCATCCCCGGGGACAGATACAGAATATTAAAAAAAAATCCTGATCAAAGAAATATTGCTTCTCCCTGCCTTTCATTGAGCAGATGTGCAATGCGTCCCGAGAAAGAAATAGAAAAATTCCTGAGTGATTTATTTGATGAACCTAGTTTTAACCGAGGTTATTGCACGCCTGATATCATGACGGGGATTATTAGTTTCCAGTTGAAAATGACCAGAGAGTCCCGTTCACTTCATCAATATGGCCCATTTATAGGTTGTCAGGGAGGCGACGTCGGGCAGCCACGGCACTTTGTCTTAGAGTTATTTCTCTATTAGATGGCTGCTGTCTTTATCATGAAGACTTCTCGCTATTTAAGAAAACCCAGACCAGAAAGATATGTCTGCTCCCTCCCAGCGTTTAAGACATTAAAAGCAGATGCATCACTTAGAAAAATGAGTCTTTTATTCAAAAGCCCCGCTGCCACAGAAGAAGGCATTTGCCACAGAAAAAATGCAAACAAATACTATGCCCCTCTCCCCCCAAAACCTCACTTTTTCTAGGAAGAAAGTTGACTTTTGCTTTTGCTGAAAAGAACACTTTGTATAACCCAAGGGTTCCCAGATTTAGTAAAGCAACAAAATTACGTTTACAGTTAAGGTTGGGGGCAGGGAAGCTCTATACGGGATTGCCAAGTAATCTCATTAGTATCCCTCCACAAATGTATATATTGTCTCCGTAATTCTATGGAGAAAGGACATTTTCATGCACACACACACAATTTTAAACAACATAGACATTGAAAAAGAACGCAATCGCCCTATCCAGTGTTGTTCAGTGGTTAGAGCATCGTCCCAGGGGCCAAAGGGTCTCGGGTTTGATTCTCGGTCAAGGGCATGTACCTTGGTTGCAGACTCCATCCCTGACTGATGTGTCTCTCTCACACCAATGTTTCTCCCTCTCTCTCTCCCTCCCTCCCTCCCTCCCCCTCTCTCTCTCCCCCGGTTTCCTCCCCCCATTCTCTTTAAAAATCAATAGAAAAATATCCTCAGATGAAGATTTAAAAAAAAAAGAAAAGAAAAAGAACACAACCTCAGGTCAGTCTTTCTCGCTAGCAGAGAGGCCAAGGTGCTCGCTCCACAGACCAAAAGAGCTGTGGTTACTGCTCAGCCCTGGTCTGCAGATGGTCCTCAGAAACCAGTGGAAAATCCGGTAAAATCTGTGAGGAGCGACACGGATGAGGGGTGGAAACTGCTTGTTCTGAAAGTTTTTATAACTCCGTAACACTTGTCCTAATTGTCACAGCAGTGACAGGAATAGTGCCAGTAAGAATAATAAGTAGGTACTATTTATTTATTAAGTATATATTAGATGTCGGCTTCTTGCTCTATGCTTGACATGCTGGTTTGTTTTCGTTCTTGCAACAACTTGTCAGTATTATTATTGCCACTTGACGGACAGGCAAGTGTGACCCAAGGGCACCGGGTGGTCAATGATGGGGCTGACAGTCCACCGCAAGGCCCAGGCCAGAAGCCAGCGCGATAACCAGCCCGCCCTGCCTCCTTCTGACTACGCTCCACTGGGCTTGTGTGTCTGTGGGTCCATATCTCCCACATGTGCTTGGTGTCCTGTTTTCATCTTCACATCCTCCACACGCAGTGCAGTGCCTGGCCAATAGTAGACACTCAATCCCTATTTCTAAACAAACAAATAAATAAATGAAGGCTTTGAGCTTGGGAAATTTGTTTTTGAACATAGCATGGTGTGAAGCTTAAGTGAGATCATATATGTACAATGCTTACAACGATGCCCAACGTAACATAGGGAGCCCTTGATATACGTGGGTGACCTCCATGAGAAGAAATCAGCTTGGAGAAAGATGTGTGGGCTTGATTCGGTGGAGAAGTGCCGGCCTCCCTGCAGAGAAATCTTCACACGGGGCATCGTCTCCAAAAGGATTTAAAAAGTCAGAAATGATCACTCACAAGGTGGGTGCAATGGGTGGAGGGGCTCAAAGGTACAAACTTCCAGTGATAAAATAAATAAGTCATGAGGATGTAATGTACAGTATGGTGAGTATAGTTAAAAGTACTGTATTGTATATTTGAAAGTTGCTAAGAGACTATCTCTCCTAAGTCCTCATTACAACAGAAAATGTTCTGTAGCTATGTGTGGTGGTAGATGCTAACTAGACTTTTTGTGACTGTATTGCAATATACACAAATATCCCCGCAGCATGTTGTACACCTGAAACTGATATGTGTTCATTCTACTTCCGTTTAAAGAATTTCCCTTGAAAAAGAAATGACAACTTATAAAAGGTCCATACATATCACTTTTTTATGCTCTCTCTATCTCTTTTTAGTTTTTATTGATTTTTTAGAGAGCGAAGGAGAGGGAGAGAAACATTGATGTGAGAGCACAACATGAATGGGCTGCCTCCAGCACACCCCCACCAGGGAGGATCAAGCCCGCAATCCGGGCACGTGCCCTTGACTGGGAATCGAACTGGCAGCCTTTTGGTGCACTGGGTGATGCCCAACCAACTGAGCCACACTGGCCAGAGCTGCTCTTTTTTTGCCATATAACATTATAACATATCCTTATATTATATACATCACATATGCCATATGTGATATATATGTAACATAATGCCCCTTATATCATGGACAAAAGATTGCAAGCTAATAAAATAAAAACAAACTGCAAGCCCTTCTTGATGAAAGGATTTTTTAAACAAATCTTGTTTCCTTGGGCCCCACAAGAAAATTATAAGGGGTTGAAAATGGGGGTTCTCCTGGATATAAGATAGAAATGCAAACTCTTCCTTATTTGCAAAACTGGGTTGACCAGTGCTGGTTAGAAAGAGTTCCCTGGTCTTCTCTGTGGAAAGCCTTTATAGATACAGTCTGAAGCTCCAGCTTAGAAATTAGTGTTGTATTCGGCTCCACCGTGCCGGCATTGTGAATCAGACAGTGACAGGAGCGCAGGGCCCTTGCGCTATTCTCCCAGAACTTCCCCAGACATCGCCCAAGGTGGTAATGAGAAAACGATTACAATGAGACCCATTCGTCTCTGATCTCTGCACCCTAAATTACCAGGGGGCCCAGGGACAGTCCTTCCCGAGGCACCCTCTGGGACCAGGCCGGGAAGGTGACATCCTTGCTGTTTCTTATTTCAGTGAGTGACACTCCCTGCCTCTCCTGGACAGATGTTTCCCTGAGCAAAGCAGCTCCGGCTGCTGAAATGATTTCTAAGTCTCTTCCATCAGTAGGATTGGGAGGACAAGGAGGCTGGCTAGCCTTCAACCCTTCAGGTGAGTAAAAAAGTGTTGAAAGTCAGGGTTACCACTATAGCAGCAGAATTCATAAATGACCAGGTTACACTGTGGATAACAACTTCATTGGATTTTGCCTTATAGAGATTAC